ATGAGAAAGATGGGGGGGGGGGTGACCCAGGAGCTCTCCAAGGTCCCTCCTGCTCAGGCGTTCTGAGCCTCCTGGGTACCCCTCCAGCTTAGCTACAGGTGAGAGGAGGCAGGTGGGAGAGGGGCCCTGAGCCATGCATAGGGAGGACCCCACATAGCAGGGAGAATAAGACAGGATGGGGCAGAATCGGGGGCTCAGGGTTCAGATAGGAAGTGTTCAGAGGCAGGATGTGAAGTGATGGAACTAGAAAGGAAGGTGCCTCAGAGGACAGAGGAAAGGAGATGGCCTGGGGGTGGGGAAAGGAATTAGCATTTATTAAGCTCTACTATGTGCCAGGGACTTGAAAAATATCATTTCATTTAATCCTCATAAGAACCCTGCAAGTTAGGTGCTATTATGATCTCCTTACAGGAGAGGAATTTGAAGCAAACAGCAATTTAAGGGACTTGCCCAGGGTCACACAGCTAGCATGTGTATCAGGCCTGACTGGAATGCAGGAAGATGAGTCTTCCTGACTCCAGCCTTAGTGCTCTACCCACTGCACCACCCAGCTGCCCCTAAAGCTCTCTTCACCCTTGGAAAATGCAGTCCAGAGGGGTCCATCATTGGCCTTCCACGGCTCAGAGGGGCAGTTTCCCCAGTGGAGCAGCTGGGGCAGGGTAGTAGTGACCTAGGACAGCTCCTTTCTTATCTGTAAGCCCAAACCCAAGCTTTTTCAGCTTGGCATTCATGGCTCTCCATAGCTGGCTCCCATGTTCCTCCCTCCTCCCTAACCTTGTACACCTGGCTCTCTCCTACTGGCTGGAGGTTTAGTCCAGCCCCCAAAATACTGCCCACTCTGCTCTCCAGCCAGGACCACTGCCCCTGGGGAGCGCCCCCTCCTTGCAGAGGAAAGAGAACTCACTGGTTCTACATGAGACCAGGGGTCAGATCCCTCCTTTTTTCACTTACTGTGTGGCCTTAGGTGAGTCACTTTACCTGTCTGCCTCAGTTCCCCTATTTAAACAGCTGGGATAATGACAGCCCTTGCCCACAGGGTTGTTGTGAGAATCCTTCAGGTGCCAAATAAGCGGGAGGCCCACCCAAACGGAAGAAAGGGAGGGTTGACAGCCCTGCCCTCCATGGCCAAGGAACAGGACTCCTCCAAACAGGTGTGTGCGGGCATCCATGTATAACTCTGCACATGTGGGACTGTGTCTGTGCACATGATAGCCTGCCTCATGCCTGTGCATGTATCGGACGGTCTGTCTGGACACCAACATGGACATCTTTAGTCCAGCGTGGACGCTCTCTCTACTGATACATGCTGGCCACTCATCTGTATACTAGAGTGGTGCGGCCTTAGCTGCTCCAGGCACTGAGAAATGGCGTGCCCAGCACAGTCCCACACCCGGCTAGCCCGTCAGAGGTGGGGCCTGAACCCAGGCCTCCGGCCTGGGCAGCCTCTGACCACTGCTGCAAACCCTATCATGCCCCAACAAACATGCTCTGCCCAATGTGGCGGGGGGCCCAGGGGTTGGCTTCTGCATTAAGGGGTCCCCTCCCACCAAAGTATCTTCTCTCCCCAAGGGTGGGGGGTGTTGGCTAGGAGAACTCAAAGATGCAAGGCATAAGAGCAGCTGGGGAGGGCCAGGCTGGTTTCAGGGTACTGGGAATCATAGGACCCCATTTGGGAGTTTGGGGGTCCACATTCAGGCCTCAGGTACCTGGGCTATGTTGGAGACAGGGCTGGGGCTGGGATTGGTCAAGGGAGTCCAGGTCAGGGTGGGCTGGCTGAGGAGGGTATCGGGAAGGTCAGGGAGTAAGCAGGGGCTGGGATGAGAGATGGGGGGGTACACTTATGCCTGGTGGAAGAGCCTGGGATAGGGTGGGGAAGGGCCAGAAGGTTATGGAAAGGAGGGGCCTGAGGCACATACACCTGGGGTAGGTTGGGGGCCATTTGAGGGTCACATCCATTCTCGGGGTTCACAAGATTAGAGAGGGTTGGGACAAGGAGAGTTGGATCATCTTTACTCCTGGAGACAGGGTTATGCTGGGGTCCAGGCTGAGATGGGTTAGGGGCCTCTTATGAACTGGGGTATGGGGGGCCTAAGGTTTCCATGTGGTAGGGGGACAGATGGGTTGGGGAAGAAGATTAGAGTTCACCCTCATGCCTTAAAAGGGGGCCAGGACTCAGGGATGGGTTGAAGGGGGGTAAACAGTTTGGTAACTGAGGAAGATGAGGCGTGAGTCCCTGGATTCATACCCTGAAAAGGAACAAAGCTGGCATTGGAGGCGGTGAGGGTTTAGGCTGGAAGGCTTAAAAGACGGGGAGTGGGACCATTAGGGACCTGGTGGTCCAGGCTGGGAAAGGGGGCAGATGGGCTGAGAGGGACAATGTTAAGGTGCTCAGATGCTGGAGATGGGTGGAGGCAGGTGGGTCAGGGAATGGGGGCTGGGAAGTGAGCCCAGGCTGGGATGGGTCATCTGGGTTGGGATTGGAGGGCTAAGGAAGGGCAGTGATCAGTGGGCCAGCCCTTCGGCATAGCCCTCAGCTTGTGAAAGCCTATTCTGTATTAGGAATTGGGAGGCCTGGGACTGGAAGGCTGGGCTGTGATGAGGAATGGGGGGCTGGGGCTGAGGGGCCAGCATGGGATACATTAAAGGAACATGAGTTAGGGAGGAGGAAGGGCTAGGCCAGGGGCCGGCAGTGACCTCAGCCTGGCAGGTCTGGAGCAGGCTAGGAGTTGAGTGAACCTAGGCTGTGATTGGGGGGTGGGGGATGTCTGAGGTGATCTTAGACTAACAAGTCTGTCCTGAGTTAGGCTGTGATGGGGAGGAGAGGAGGGCTTAGGGGGTGTCCAGGCTGGGGCAGGGCACTGTCTGCAGTGGGTGGCCTCAGACTGATATTGGGTTAGACTGAGATGGGGAGGTGGGTAGGATATGATGGAGCTGTGAAGGTGGGCTGTCTGCAGTGGCCTTTGACAGGTCAGAGCTGGGTCCACTGGGATGGGGGGAGGGTTGGGGTATGATGGGGAAGGAGGAGGGTCTAAGAAGTCTAGACTTTGATGGGGGGGCTGTCTGCAGTAGGTGGCCTCAGACTGATACTAGACGAGACAGGGATGGGGGAGGGCCTAAGGGGGAGTTCAGACTTGAGAGTGGGTGCTGTCTGCAGAGGGTGGCCCCAGACTGATACTGGATTAGACAGAATGGGGAGGGCTGGGATATGATGGGGAGGGAGAAGGGCCTAATGGGGAGCCTAGACTTGGGGGGTGCTGTCTGCAGTGGGTGGCCTCAGACTGATACTGAGTTACCCTGGGATGGAGGGAGGGCTGGGGCATGATGGGGTGTGGGGAGGGCCTAAGGGGGAGTCCAGGCTTGGGGGGGGTGCTGTCTGCAGAGAGTGGCCCCAGACTAATACTGGGTTACCCTGGGATGGGAGGAGGGCTGGGGGTCCAGACTGGGGGTGCTGTCTGCAGAGGGTGGCCTCAGACTGATGCTTGATTAGACAGGGATGGGGGAGGGCCTAAGAGGGAGTCTAGACTTGGGTGTGTGCTGTCTGCAGAAGGTGACCCCAGACTGAAACTGGGTTACCTCGGGATGGGGGGAGGGCAGGGGGTCCAGGATGGGGATGCTGTCTGCAGCGGCCTCAGCCTGACAGCTCTGGGCTGTTCAGGCCAGGATGGGGACGGGCTCAGGGGGTCCCGGGGGTGGGGGGTCCCGCACTGCACTCACGCCTCGGGGGGGCCCGGGCTGGGGCCGGGCCCCGGCTGGGGGGGGCCCGGGCTGCTGTGCTCGGGGCTCTGCGTCCTGCCCGCCGCGCGCTCGCCCCAGGGCTGCATGGACGGGCCTGGGCTCGGGCTGCTCGGGCTCCAGGGCGGGCTCCAGCTCGGCCCGGAGGGAGGACGGCGGAGCCGCTGCCGGGTCGGCGATGCAGATGCTGCCGCGGACGCCGCTGCTGATGCGGCCGCTGCTTTCTCCGCCCCGCGCTCCGATTGCTGGTCGGCTCGCTCTGCAGCCCTGGCCAGCGCAGCACGTCTGTTTGCCGGGCCCGCCCGCGCCACCTCCCCTCGCTGTCCAACTCTGTCTCCTGATCCCCGGTGTACCCTCAGTCCAGTCCAGTCCAGCCCAGCCCTCTACTGATCACCTGACCCAGACCCCGACCCCGACCCCAACCCCGAGCTGAGCATTTGCACTGATAGAACGAAGTATGATAAATTATAGTGAAACTGTAAAAAAGATGTCATGACACTCGTGGTCCTTCAGTGGTGAAGGGTTTTCGGGATGGTCATCCCCCTAAAAAGCATACAGGTGGGCCTGAGCCTAGAGAGCTGGAAAACAGAAAAGGACGCCTGCCAGCCAGCGGCATATTGACTTAAAAAACCCCATATGTGGAGCAGCTGGGTGTCTCAGTGGATAGAACACCGGCCCTGGATTCAGGAGGACATGAGTTCAAATCCAGCCTCAGACACATAGCACTTACTAGCTGTGTGACCCTGGGGCAAATCGCTTACCCCCCAAATACGTTACAAATTAAAAAAAAAAAAGCACGTGTTAATTTTAATGTATGTTGTATTGCATTTTTATTTGTTTCATTGTAAACATTTCTCAATTACATTTTAAAAAATTATTATTTTTTGTTTTTAACATTCACTTCCATAACTTTTTGAGTTTTTCATTTTCTCCCCCTCCCCCCTCCCCAAGATCCCAATTACATTTTAATCTGGTCCCGGCCACCCTCCAGAGCTGGTTGAATGTCTCATTTCCTTAATGTTACAGAGCTGGAAACTGAAGCTCCTGGGTTTAGGGCTGGGAACTCCATCACTTTTACAGAGAGGGGAAACTGAGGCCCAGAACCCCTCTGTCCGGCCCCTGCACACAATAGAACTCCCCTTGACCTCGGGCCTCCCCGCCAGCTCTTTCCCTCCCTCTCGCCCGCCCGCCCGTGCCAAGCGCAGCCTGCGCGCGGCCCCAGAACCCGAGAGCCGACGCCTGAGGGCGGAGCCGCGGCGGGCCGCCCAGCCGCGCGGGGCATGGTGGGAGAGGAAGCGGAGCCCACGCTGCGCAGCGTGGATCATGGCGGTGGTCGCGGAGCCGCCGCGTGGCGCGGGACGGAGGTACGTAGTGGGGGGCGTGGGGGTCGCCGTGGCGGCTGCGCGGACTCGGCGGCCGAGGGGGGCGCTTGGGGATCCGCGGCTGTCCCCTTCCGGTCCCCGCCTTTGCTCGTGTTTCGCAGGAGGGGAGACTGAGTCCCTCCCGGACTTGGTCTGGATCGTGGCGGGAGGGGGCTGCATAGGAGAAAGAGACGGGGGTGCCGGCGCTGGCCTGGAGCCTCTCGGGGAGGGGGAGGGGGAGGAAGAGGGCGCCAGCCTCGATTAAGCGGCCGGTGTGTGCTGATTGTCCCCATTTTACAGATGAGGAAACTGAGGCAACCAATGGTTTAGTTAGTGGGTTTCAGGCGGGGTCCCACAGCTAGTAGGTGTTTGAGAGCAGATTTGAACTCAACTCTGCCTGACTCCAGGCCCAGCTTTGTCCGCTGCGCCACCTAGCTGTCTTAGAGGCCCCGAGTTCAAATCCTAGCTCTGCCACTTACCGCTTGTCTTGGGCCCTCAGTTTCCTTATCTGTAAAATGGGGGGGCGGGGCAGTGTTTGGCCTCCCGGCTCTACATCTGTGGTCCAGGCTTTGGGAGAAATGGGCACATAATAGCGTATTCAAGCCGGGTATAAAGTGGTTGGGGGAGGGTCCCTTGTGCTCGAGCTGGGTTTTGAAGAGATCCGGGGGAATCTGAGGCCTTCATGCCTTGTGGGGGGCCCGGTGTTCCAGGTTCTTTCCCCCAGACCCCTTAAAAGCCATCTGCTCATCTTCTTGCAGGAAGCTTGCCGAACTGAGCGTGGATGAGTTCCTCACCTCCGGCTTTGACTCGGAGCTGGACAGTGGGTCAGAGGAGGAGGAAGAGGCGTCTCGGCCCCCCCAGGGGGCCCAGGATGCAGACCAGAGCCCGGCAGCTCTGGGGGTGCCCAAGAGGAAGCTGACTGCCCAGGAGGGGCCAGCCACAAAGTAAGGGATGGGGCGTGGGTGGTTACAGATCTGTGCCCCATTTCCTTCCCTCTGTTCCCTCTCCCTCATATTAAGCTTACTTGGTTTCCTCCACCATAGGGGGACACACACAGATGGATCTCTGTCTAGTGCCAGGACTCCTGACCCTATTACAACCCAGCTTGTTCTCTGACTTATACAGAGATACCAAGACCCCGGGCCATTCTCTGGGCTCTTATCTTCTGTAAGAAAGATCTGCTAATAGTAGGTTTTTGGGCCCTGCTCTCTGTGGCCCACTGTGGGGCCTGGTAGACAGATGGCATGGGTACTTCCCATCCCAGTCCCCTTCAGCAGGTGGCCCCTAGCTGGAATGAAGAAGCTTAGGAGGGCCACCACCCCCTCGCACTCCCAGCACTTACGTCAAGACACGTGGGGGGCACCTTCTGTTAGCAGCTACGTGATTGAGGAGGCTGGGAATAGACGATACAAGTCTTCTGAACTTGAATTGTCTGAAAGTCAGCTTGCTCAGATTTCCCAGGACCACAGGCCGGCTCATCTATCTGTACTTGCATAAATCTCAGTCCCCTTTACAGCACCCCTAAAAAGTGGGCATCTGGGCTCAGTTGAAGACCTTCAGTGATGGGGCACTCACTACCTCTCCTGGTGGCCCATTTCCCTGGGGACTGCTCTATTGTCAAGGAGTTTCTCCTGCCCCTAAAGAGGCCATTCTTTAGTTGGCATCCATGGTTTAGTGCCGAGGACATATCTCCTGGCCCTTCACCATCTTTATCACCCTCCTGTGCGTGCTCACCAGCTTTTCGATGGCCCACAGAAACCGTTGTGTCCAGAACTGAACACGGTACTCCTCACAATTTCTGATTGAGGCAGAGTATAATTTCGCTGTTCCTGCTTCTTCCCTGAAGCCAGGCCTCTCTTGATGTAGCTCAAGATCCCATTAGTTTTTTCAGCTGCCCCAGTGATGACTGACTCTGCTGACTCAGATTGAGCTTGGGGTCCTCTAGAATTCCCAGATCTTTTTCAGACAAACTGCTTTCTAATCACACCTTCCCCATCCTGTACAGGTGAAGTTGGTTTTTTTTGAATCCATGTGTAAGATTCTATTTACCTCTGTTGAATTTCATCTTAATGTATTTAGCCTGCTGAGATCTCTCTGGGTCATCTGCACATTTGATGAGAATAGCTAGATGCCTTTCTTTGAATCATTGACAAACATGTTAAACAGGTTAGAATTGAATCTGGAGCCCTGGGGCACTGTGCTGCCGCTGAACACTTGAGTGTGCTCTGAGTCCAGCCATCTGGGCAGTTATGTGTCCATCTGACTCTTCTCATCTAGCTCCCCTCTCCGTCTTCTTCATGAGATAATGTGAGGCACTTTTTTAAATAAAATACTTTGCCAAAATCCAGGTCGTCTAGCTCCAGAGCATTTCTGTGATTTGTGAGTTTTAACCCTGTCAAAAACGGTGGAAGGGGAATAGGGCTAGTCTGTCACATGTGTGCTTGCTGAACCAAGGCAGGCTGGCTTGTGACTGCTACCTCCTTTTCTAAATGTTCACCAGCCATCTCTTTGTTGCTCCATCTTTGGATTTCCTCAGAAGTTGAAAAAGTCAACTCTGAAAACCCCCAGCTTTTTCAGATGAGCTGCTGGCTAGTTGTCTTTTACTGATGAAGTTGATTTTTCTTTTTTCTTTTTTTTTTTAATTTTATTAGTTTATTTTGATTTATCAGCAATCACTACCATAAGTTTTTGAGTTTAAAATTTTTCTCCCCCTTCCTTCCTGCCACCCTCCCCGAGACGGCGCCCAATCTGATATAGGAAGTTGATTTTTCAAGGCCTGGTTTTGGTCTGAGGGGCAGTATGCTGCATTTGGAGTTTGAGGTCCTGGTTTAATCCTAGCTCTACCAAGAACTATCTGTGTGACCTCTGTGGGCCTCAGTTTCCTTATCTGTAAGGTGACCTTGGTGACCTCTTGTCACCTCTGACCCTGACCATTCAGGTCTCTGGTGTTTTCTGGCTCCACACTTGTCCCCCTTCAAATTTGTCTTAGTTGATTCAGCACCTTGCTTTCGCCCACATCTTTTTGTGCTATTTGACAGCCTTCCCGTAGGTTGGCTCCCCACCCCTCCTGGCTTCACGTGATCTGTGAAGCGGTAACTGTTCATCCCATTGGAGCCTTCATTCAGGTCACGGATGAAGAGGGGAGAGACCGCTCAGGACCCCGCATGTATTCCCTGGGGTTCTCTGCTCAGGATCCCACCTCCCTTCCAAGTCAAGCTGTTGAAGAACCCCAGGTGTAGGAGGGGATCTGAGCGCGTGCCTGGCTGAGGCCTTGCAGGAGGAATCCCCGCTGGCACATACCCAGCAAGCCTGCTTGAAGATCCTGCAGGACGGGGCGCCCACACTGTGGGCAGCAGCCCATCCCACAGTGGGACTGCCCTTTCTCCTGGTGTCGTCTCTGAGTCGCCATCTTTGCTGTTTCTGTTCAGTGGTGTGCCTGGTTGTGCCCTTTGACATGACCCCCAAGCCCTTCACTGTCCTGGCTGCTCTGCTCTGGACGCTCCCGCCTAATCGTTGGGATGCCCAGATCTGGACGCTGCCCTCTACGTGGGTCTGCCTGGGGCTGAGGACAGCGGCCCTAGACCCTCCTCATCCCCAGAGGCTCTGGCTCTCTCACTGGGGACCTTAGGTCATGTTAGCTGCTGGCTGCCTTTTTGGGCCCTGTCCTCTTAACTGGCTTGTCCAGCTGCCTTCTCTCCGTTTTGTCCCCTAGGCCAGAACGAAGGCCTTGGTCATTTGCCATGTTAGTTGTTGGTGGGGGTCATCCCCGACAGGGGTGTCGATGCAGGCCAGCTCCCTCCTGTGCTCCCCCAGATGCCACAGATGATCCAGGCGCGCCCAGAATCCTGTAACTTGTCTAATAGCCAAGTGGAGGGTATGCCTGTATCCCCCGGGATTCGGGCTTCTCTGGGCTGCTTGCAGTGTTTGGCTGGGGGTGCCCCCCTTCCCCCACCGCGTGTCTTTCCTTCCTGGCCTCCCTGGGTGGTTGTCCCACGCCACGCTCCGTGGCTCAACACTGTGTCTTGGCACTGCCCCGAGGGCGTGCCCTGCTCCTCCGCCTGTCCAGGCTTCCTTCAGACGCAGCCCAGATCCCCCTTCTGTAGGAGGCCTGTCCTGCTCTGTGTCCCCTGTGTGCCCCCTCAGAGGTGAGCCTCTGGAGGGCAGTCTCCATCATCCTTGTCCTTGTGTCGCTGGTATCCGCTGGGGCCCGGGGTGAGCATCTGGCCAGTGTTTGCCAGGTGACAGCCGCTGGTGCCCCGGAGGAGGGTTGAGGTGTGGCCCCTGCCCAGCCTGGTGGGCATCCTGACCTGTGTCTGCCTGTGGTCTCCAGGAAGCTAAGGAAGGGTAAGGCATCTGAACACAAGGACCAGCTCTCGAGGCTGAAGGACAAGGATCCGGAGTTCTACCAATTCCTCCAGGAAAATGACCAGACACTCCTGAACTTCGATGACTCAGACAGCTCCGAGGACGAGGAGGAGGAGAAATTCCACACGCTCCCAGACGAGCTGGAGGTGGGGGAGCCGCGGCTCCACGGTGGGGGGAAGGGAGTGGGGGAGGACTTGGGAGAAAGGTGGGGGGCACTTGGGGGGGGGCCCACAGTGAGAAGGAAGGGGGTGGGGGAAGGCTTGAGAGAAAGGTGATGAATTCTGCTTGGGACACACAAGTGTGAGATGCCTTTGGGAAATCCAGTTTGAGGTGTCCCCTAGCCCACTGGTGATGCAAGCCTAGAGCTCATCTGAAAGACTTTGGGGGGCTGATCCTGACACCTTTTGTGATTGGGGACCCTGGCCAGCTGCCTCTGGGACGAGGCCCTTGGCCTGGCAATGGCAAATTGGAGCTCTGGGCCCTGGGGCTGGGGAGGCGGTGTGTGCCGGGCCTCTGGTGCTCATCACTGGCCTTGGCCCTACCTCATACAGGAAGCCAGTGAGGATGAAGAGGGGGAGGAAGAGGAGGAGCAGAGCATGCAGAAGAGCCGGTCCAAGCGGACCAGACTGACCCTCAAGATGGTGGAGCAGTGGAAGCAGTCAGCCAAGGTGAGGAGGGCAGGGAGGAGGTGTGGGGGCCGCCGGGCTGTCTGGGCAGTCCGCATGCCTGTGGCCCACCAAATAGCCTCTTATCTTCCTGCCTTTGGCCCTGGGGCACAGGACCTAATGCTCCTCCACACACGACCCCCTCCCTCACATCCCCCGGGTGCCCAGCTTTCTGACCACCCCATAAACTGGTACAGTTGAAGAGTAGGGTCTAACATGCCCTGGCAGCAAGGTCTCCCCATCACCAGGAGGATGCTCCATGTCCACGGGAAATAGTGAACGGAATAGACGCTAATAGAGTAGAAGGCAGCTAATGCTACATTCTGTGGCAATGGGAGGCCCGCAGGGTTCCTCCGGCCATGCCCATCTCCCACCTCCATGCCTTTGCCCTCTGCCTCCCCAGAGTCTTGGCCTCCAGGCTCCCCTTTCCAGTCCAGCTGCCAGAACCGTCTTTTTAAGGTTAGTCTAGACTTCCCTGCTCAGGTCCTTTCTCCTCACCTTTCTTCTAGCTTTCCAAGCCTCCCGTGTTCTGGCACAGACCTATTTCACTCTCCTGCCCTTTACACGCCCTTCTTCTCCACCAGCGTGAAACCCCTTCTGCCCACAGAGCCATGGACACCCCCTGGCTTCATGGGAAACACCTGTCCCCCCAGCTCACTTTGAGAGGTCACCTAGCTCAACCCCCTTGTTTTCAGAGGAGGAAACTGAGACCCAGAGGTCATCTTCCTGAGTTCAAATCCAGCCTCAGACACTTCCTAGCTGGGTGACCTGGGGCAAGTCACTTTACCCTGTTTGCCTCAGTTTTCTCAACTGCAAATGGGAACAATAACAGCACCAACCTCCAGGATTGTTGTGAAGTTCAAACGAGATAGTGACTGTGACGTGCTTAGCACAAGGCCTGGCACGTCGTAGGTGCCGTGTAAGCGTTAGCTGCTGTTGTTTACAAGTGAGTAAAGTGAGGCCCCAAAGGAAGCGTGGCTTGCCCTGGTCACCAAGGAGTGAGGAGAAGAGCTGGGCCCGGCCCGGTGCTCACGGCTCCTGGAGGCTGTGACGGCCCCTGTTGTTTCCTGCCCGCTTCTAGGACCTCTCCCCTCGGCTCTTCCACGAAATCCTGCAGGCCTTCCGGGCTGCCGTCTCCACCACCTACGAGGACGAGGGCGGCAGAGAGTCCAGCAAGTTCCGGATCACGGACAGTGCAGGTGAGCCGGGCGGGAAGGAGGGCAGGGCTTGTCCCGGAGATCCCAGAGCCCCCTAACTCTGTGTGTGGCCTGCGCAGTGTTCAACGCCGTCATCACCTTCTGCATTCGCGACCTCTTCCCCTGCCTGCAGAAGCTGCTGCAGCTGAAGCCACCCAAGGACAGAACCAAGTAAGGCGGGCTCCCGTCGTCGGGTGGGAGCCTCGTGAGGTGCCCTGGGCCCGGATGGGAGGTGGGGGGATTCAGGGGAACTCTGGACTGGAGAGGTGGCCTTCCTCCCCTCAGTGGGCGCCAGCCTCTCCAGCCCCTTGCTGCAGCGCTTGAGCTTAAGTCGTGTATCTGTGACTAGACTAGAGGGCCCCCGAGGACAGGGGCCACTGGCTGCTTGGGCTAGGCACCCCAAGGGCTCTGACAGCTCTGCGCCCTGGCCCAGCCGCCTTCAGGGATCTTCAGAGCCAGTGGGGGCACACCAGGCGCTGCCTTTGGGAAGCCCCTCTGTCCCCACTCAGGGCATCTCTGGCTCCCGCGTGTGTCCGCAGACCACCCCTGGGAGCCACCACGTCTGATGAGGAGGCTCGGTTCTCTCCCTCACGATGGTGCTTGGGGTCTGCTGTGGCAGGGAGCGGGCTTAACCCTGAAGTACTCCCTCAGCATCTGGGGAGCAGGCAGGGAGCGCTGCCAACAAGCATGAGGAAGGGTGTGACCCCTGCTGTCTGGGAGTTTCTAGTCCAGTCACAGGGATTGGATATAGGGAAGAGCAGAGCTAAGACCTGGAGCCTCTGGAGCCTCTGGGGCCTATGCCGTTGCTGAGCTGAAATTTGGAGGGTGATGATTGGCTCAGGGTGGCTGGAGCTATCATGGAGAGACCTGGGTGAGAGTCCTGCCTCTGATGCTTCTTCCTGGAGTGACTGGTAGAGTCACTTTGCTGCTCTGAACCTCAGTTTCCTCTTCTGTGAAGTGGGTATAATACCTTCCACACAGGTTGGTGGTCATGAGATGTGAGTTAAGACAACCTACATAAAGCACTTTGTGGACCTTAGAGGCTATACACACGACCTGGATTTTCCTTAGTTTGGGAAGGCCCTTGGAAGGATGGACAGGCTCCTGACAGGCTGGTGCTCACCTCCTGGTGTTTGCTGCGCAAACACCCTACCCATGTCGAGCTCCCCCAGGCCTGCCTCTTGTAACTGCCTCCCCTCAGGGTGCCCTCTCTCATTCCCTTGGCCCTTTGAAATCTCTCCCCTCTTGTCAGACCCAGCTTAAGCTCTGCCTTCTCCCTGAAGCCTTCCCTTGACCACCTTGGCTCACAGTGATGTCCCGGCCCTCGTCATCTCTGCCACCCGCCCCTGCCCTGCTTTCTAGGTTCTGTGCTTACTGTCCTGCATCCATGACTAGATTCTGAGCTCCCTGATATCACAGGCCATGCCTTGGACCCTAGCAGTGCCTAACTCGTAGGAGTCCCTGAGTGCTGGCGATTCGAGAGGTCTCAGAAAGCCAAGCTTGAGAGCTTTGGCCTAGCCTGCAGGCAGCATGAAGCCCTTGCCATTTGAAGGGTTTGAGGGGCACCAGATGCATTCCATTTATTTCTTTAAGTGTGAAAATTTTTATGTTTTTTCCAGTTACCTGTAAAAACAATTTTTTAAACATTTAAAAAATTTTGATTTCCAAATTCTCTCCTCTCCCTTCCCTGAGAAGGCAAGCAGTTTGCTATAGATTATATGTATGCAGTCATGCAAAACATAATTCCATATTAGCCATGTTGTGAAAGAAAACAGACAAAAAAGACCCCAAGAAAAATAAAGTTTAAGAAATATGCTTTGATCTGCATTCAGACTCCATCAGTTCTCTCTCTGGAGGTGGACAGCATTTTTTCATCGTTTTCATCATGGGTCTTTGGGAATCTTCTTGCATCCTGTACTGCTGGTTCTGCTCACTTCACTTTGTATCCGTTCACGTGAGTCTTTCCAGATTTTTCTGAAGTCTGCCTGCTCACCGTTTCTTATAGCAGAGTAGCATTCCGTTACATTCATACACCACGACTTGTTCAGCCGTTCTCCATTTGATAGATGTTGCCTCAATTTCCCATTTTTTGCCACCACAAAAAGAGCTGCTATACATAGTTTTGTACATATTTTTTCTTCAGTGTCTCTAAGATACAAGCCTGGTAGTGGTATTGCTGGATCAAAGCTTATGCACAGTTTTATAGCCCTTTGGCCATAGTTCCAGATTGTTCTCCAGAATGCTTAGATCAGTTCACAGTTCCACCAGCAACGCGGTAGTGTCCCTGCTTTTCCACATCTTCAACATTTATCATTTTCCTTTTCTGTCATGTCAGCTAGTCTGATAGGTATTAGGTAGTACCTCAAAGTTTTAATTTGCATTTCTCTAATCAGTAGTGATTTAGAGTATTTTTTTCGTATGACTATGGATAGCTTTGATTTCTTCTAAAAACTGTTCATGGCCTTTGACCATTTATCAGTTGGAGAATGACTCATATTCTTTTACATTTGATTCAGTTCTCCATATATTTGAGAAATTAGGCCTTTATCAGAGAAACTTGCTAAAAAAAAATTTTCCCCACTTTCCTGCTTCCCTTCCAATCGTGGCTGCCTTAGGTTTGTTTGTGTAAAACCCTTTCAACTTAATGTAATCAAAGTGATCTGTTTTATATCTCGCAGTGCTCTCTATATTGTTTGTTCCCAAATTCTCCACTTATCTGTCAATCTGATGGGCAGATTATTTCGTGCCCCCCTAATTTGTTTATGGTGTCACCCATGTCTAAATCGTGTACCTAGTTTGACCTCATCTTGGTATGCTGTGTGAGATGTTGGTCTATGCCTAGTTTCTGCCGTACTCTTTTCCAGTTTGCCTAGCAGCTTTTGTCAAAAAGTGAGTTTTTATCCCAGAAGCTGGGGACTTTGGGGTTTATCAAACACTAGATTACTATGGTCATTGACTGCTGTGTCTTGTGTACCTCATCTGTTCCGCTGATCCACTGCTCTGTTTCTTAGCCAGTACCAGATTGTTTTCATGATTACTGCTTTATAATACACTTTGAGATCTGGCACTAGTGGGCCCCCTTCCTTCACTTTTTTTTTATTGATTCCCTTGATATTCTTTCAGATGATTTTTGTTATTTTTTTTTAGCTCTGTAGAATAATTTTTGGTGGTTTGGTATGGCACTGAATGAATAAATAAATTTAGGCAGAAATGTCATTTTTAATTCCATTGGCTCAGCCTGCCTGTGAGCAATTGATATTTTTCAGTTGTTTAGATCTGTCTTTCTTTCTGTGAAAAGTGTTTTGTAATTGTGTTCGGATAGGTCTCGGCAGGGAGACTCCCAAGTCTTCTGTATTGTCTACAATTATTTTAAGTGGAATTTCTCTTTCTATCTCTTGCTGCTGGGCTTTGTTGGTTACATATAGAAATGCTGATGATTTATGGGAGTTTATTTTATGTTCTGCAACTTTGCTGAAGTCGTTAATAATTTTTTTTTTTATGAGGCAAGTGTGGTTAAGTGACTTGCCCAGAGTCACACAGCTAGTGTTATGTGTCTGAGGCCAGATTTGAACTCGGGCCCTCTTAACTCCAGGGCTGGTGCTCTATTCACTGCACCACATAGCTGCCCCCAGTTAATTATTTCATGCAGTTTTTTAGTTGATTCTCTAGGGTTCTCTCAGTACACCATGATATCGTCTGCAGAATGATTGCTTTATCTCCTCGTTGCCTTTTCCTCTTCCTTCCATTTCTTCTTTTGTGGCTAGAGCGAACATTTCTAGCACAGTATTGAATAACAGTGGTGATAATGGACATCCTTGTTTCACCTCTGATCTTATTGGGAAGGCTTCTAGCTTATCCCCATTACAGATAATGGTTACTGATGGTTTTAGATAGATGCCACTTAAACCTTTTTAAGGAAGACTCCATTTATTCCCATGCTTTCCAGTGTTTTTAATAGGAATGAGTGTTGTATTTTGTCAGAAGCCTTTTCTGCATCTGTTGAGATCATAACATAATTTCTGTTTTTGTTATTGATATGGTCAACTGTGTTGATAGTTTTCCTAATTTTGAACCAGCCCTGTGTTTGTAGTGTAAAGTTCACTTGGTTATAATGTATGATCTTTGTGCTCTATTGCTGTAATTCCCTTGCCAGCATTTTATTTAAGATTTTTACGTCAGTATTCATTAGGGAAATTTGTTTATCATTTTCCTTCCCTGTTTTTGCTCTTCTGGTCTTAGGTTTCAGTACCATGTTTGTGTTATAAAAGGAATTTGGTAGGACTCCTTTGCCTCTTTTTCCAGGTAGTTTATGTATTATTGGAACTAATTATTCTTTAGATGTTTGGTACAATTCACTTGTGAATCATCTGGTTCTGGGAATTTTTTCTTAGGGAGTTTCTTGATGGCTTGTTTAATTTCTTTTTCTAAGATCTGGTTATTTAAGTATTTTATTTCCTCTTCTGTTAATCTGGGCAATTTATATTTTTGTAAGTATTCACCCATTTCACTTAGATTGTTAGATTTATTGGCATGTAATTGGGCAAAATAGCTCCGAATAATTGCTTTAGTTTCATCTTCATTGATAGTGAATTCATCCTTTTCATTTTTTTGATACTCTTCATTTGGTTTTTTTTTTAATCATATTAACCAATGGTTTATCCATTTTATTGGCTTTTTCGTAAAACCAGCTCCTACTTTTACCTGGTAGTTCAGTGTTTCCTTACTTTTAATTTTATTATTTCAAAATTATTTTCAGTATTAGTATTTGAATTTCAGGACTTCCAATTTGGTGTTTAATTGGGGAATTTTGAGTTTGTTGTTTTTGTGGTTTCTTTGGTTGCATGCCCAATTCATTGATCTGCTCTTTCTCTGTTTTATAGATACAAGCATTTAGAGATACGAATTTTCCCCTAAGTACTGCTTTGGCTGCAGCCCATAAGTTTTGGTATCTTGTCTTATTGTCATTCTCTTTAATAAAATTATTTATTGTTCCTGTGATGGATTCGTTAACCCACTCATTCTATAGGATTTGATTATTTAGTTTCCAGTTAATTTTTAATCCATTTCCAAAGCCCTTTATTGAATGTAATTTTTATTGCATTATGATCTGAGAAGGATTCACATAATATTTCTGCTTTTCTGAATTTGGCTGTGAGGGTTTTACACCCTAG